GCCCGAAGGTGCCAACACACACCGTTAAGGCGAAAGTACGAAGAGAAAGAAACAATCAGCCAAGGCCTTCCATAAAAAGAAACAGGTCAGCTGATTAGATTTTACTTCATTTTCATACAACAAGAGATATACAACGTAGAAGAAGTTAACAATTTTAGCAGGAGGTTCTTGATTCTATCTTATACTTACATCTGACTTACACTCACATCTTACAATGTTGTACGTCTAGTCCAGGATCCCCATGAAACATCCACGATTACCCTCTTCTGCCTCGTGCAGAACACCTAATTGGAGGGGAAAACCGCAGTCGAGATAAAATAAAAACAGAAGCCTTTTTGCCTTTCCTGTAAGCTGTCAAACCACCGACCAGGGAAGATCCCTAGGCAATTCTCAGCTCCCCCGAATCTGAGTTCCACCCAGTTCATGCGTCCTGCATTGTTCCGATCGATCCTCGATATGTTGAAGTATAATTTCTCCAGTATGGATGATGAAAATATTTCTCGACTGCATGTTCTTTCATTTTCAGCCCGGACAGCTGTCCACGGCACACATTCGCCCTATTCCTTGTTCTGTGTGCCCCTTGTGTCCTTTGGGCCTAAAGGACCTTTGATGCTCCTCTTAGAAGCCCCGTCACATCGTGATGGATCCCCAGATGCATGGTGACCCGCCACTTGCGAACTGGCCCGCAGGCCATCTGTCGCCGAAGCTATGCAAGCACGCTTCTCGAGGGCCTCAAAGAAATCGACCATAAAGAACATGACTCTAGCGCGGCAGGGAGCCCAACAGCTTGGTTCAGTCCCCAGCGCTCTGGTTCTGGCTTCCTTGATAGGGCCATCCCCGGCCGGACATGAGCAGATCATCCCCTGAATTCCATTAGGGGGAAGCCGACATTTGTTCTCGCTATATAAGTACTACGTAGTTCAAGCCATAATAATTGATTCAATCACCTTCTTTTCTCTTTTTCTCTTTTTCTCATTTTCTTTACTTTCCTTTTGCTTTTTTTCGGTGTTCCCATTTCCAGGTCTGGCGCAACCCGCATTCGGCGTATCTCAGCTCTCGACTGCATCATATCCCAAGATTTTTTTTTCTGCCTTCTATGCCTATGCATCGTGCATGATTTGCTTTGCTCGGATTAGTGCGCCTGCTTAAACTTTAGAGGCAAATGTTGTGACCCCAGCGTCATCGCTGAAGGATTTAAGAGTGATCAACTGCAGCTCATCCGGGGTATTCCTATTTTCGAGGCACCACACAGTGTGACTCTACAATTATTTTCCTTTTTCCCATCTATTAAGAACGGTGGAGATCCAATTCAAGAATTCCCAAACCAAGAAATCAAAAATGCCTCCAGATGGTTCAACCTTCACGGCACTAAACCTGCCACCGACATTCGAACTACCCCAATGCATGGAATACTTCACCCTCCGCGCAGGTCCAAACACAGACCTCTGGCGCAAACCACCCAACGGCGAAACCTCCACCGCCCCAATCGTCTTCACATCCCTCCGCCACGCCTTCGTCGTAGCAGAGGTGACCGTGAGCGCAGACTGGGAACTGGAATGGGACCAAGGCGGACTGGTGATATTCGCCGGCGCGGCGCCGCAATCCTTCTCCTCTGAAGTCGACGGACCGCGAGGCTTCCGCAGCGCACCGCGCTCACCCTGCAAATGGGTCAAAGCCGGAATGGAGTTCTCGTCGGGGACGGTGAACGCGTCGTCGGTAAGCGCGACGGCCGATGGCGCGGACTGGTGTTTGTCGCCGCTGGCGCAGTCGGCTCAGGCCGGACTGGCTATCCACTCGCTGCGTATCAAGCTCGAGCGTGTCGGCCATGCGCTGTGGATTTGGTACCAGGTTCCGTCGGCGTCACCGTTCGCTTTGTCGCCCGGTGCGGTGGGGAATACGTGGAAGAAGTTGCGCGAGGTGACGTGGTTCTTTTATGGGGTGGAGGATAAGTTTGTTCATGTTGGGGTTTATGCGAGTCGGCCGACGGGTCTGTCGCGGGCTGGTGCGATGTGGGATGATATGCATGCTTCTTTGCCGACGGGTTCGGCGGATGGGTTGGTGGTTGAGTTTGAGGATCTGGAAATTTTCTAGCTGGTGTGTCTTGCTCTCTTCTTGGTTTTTGGCTTGCTTTGATGCGCTTACACTTGGGGTTTGGGGCTTTTCTTTCGAGTCCTGGTGATACATATTCCCCATCAGCGTTTTGATTTTATCGGTTTATCGAGCGATTATGGCATGTTTGGAGTCTTTTGTGATCGTTCTTGCAGGTCTTCTGTTAACATTGGTTTTATCTTATTCATATGAAGTATATTTATTGATGCACTCGAGCTTTTCCTTCCAGCAGGAGTGTATGTCGACCAGGTGTATTAACGCGATGAGCCGCTTGGCACGTGTATTGCTCTTCTCGCTGCAATGATGATTGCAGCCATAAGTCTCTTGATTATTGTGATTTCTATTCTTGGATTTGCCAAATTAAACAGAAGAAAAATGAAAATGATGGAAAAATAATTCAAGATTGATATGATTTCGTAGTCGCCGATGTATATATTGGATGAACCTCGAGAATCAAGCCTAGCGACAATATATGTATTGCACAGCTGGACACCGCTTGAAATAACAGAATACAATGTACAAACATATATAAACTCCTAAAAAGAAATATCCATGAGATCTCATCAATATCACCAAGATATACTTGATATTGTCACTAACTGAAAGCGGACTAGACCGGGTTCGTAGATATAAACGGGGAAGTTGCCGAGCATCAGAGCTTTACCCCAACCCCAACATAGTGAATTCACAAAACACCTAGCTCGCAATGAAATGTGATATGACTTGCTTCACCTTCAATGCTGCATGCTGCATGCAGAACCTCGATCTGTAGTCCTGGAATACCGAGGCTGATGTCACAGTCACAGGTTGAGTCAGCTGACTACGGGAAAGCCGTTCCCGAGGTCCCGGAGCTAAGAATCTTGCGTCGAGGGTCTCAGGCTCATTAAGAACCGCCAGGACTGATTCTTTGTGATAAAATAGCTCGATCGTCTTGTGAAGACTCTGTAGTTCACTCTCACCACATATTGTAGGCCAATGGGTGGTGGTTGTGGTGTAGTTGCAGGTTGAAGAGCGAGTCGAATACTGCAAGACCGTAGCAACATCGGCTAGAGCGGGATATGACAAGCGCCAAAAAGACCAGCTGTTTGTTGTCAAGATCGAGCTAGGATCGCCCCGGGTTTATAGCTTTTAGCTTGTCTACGTGGAGTTCTGAGCTTGGGAGCAAAGTAACTCATTCAGGCGTTATACATACAATCTCACCCCATGGGGAAGAACTAGGAAAAGGAAAGAGAATATTATACGGCCGTCAGACGCAACACACAGAGTTTTTCGTTTGGCTCTTTGATAGGTTGGATGGTCGATGGGCCATATAGGACTCTATATGTACAGAAAGAAAAGTGTTGTAGATGACGCTGAAAGTAGTACATGGTAATACATCACGACCAAATACCCTCCCCGGCAGAAAAAGAGATTCTCTCAAAAAACCCAAAATCCTTGTTTTGATGACATTTTTCCAAGAATCCGAAAACCCGAGTCGTAGATAATTTAGACGTACTTGCACATCATGGCAACCATGAGATCGAAGAGACCCATGGCCTCGACGAAGGCAAAGCCGAGAATGGCGTAGGAGAAGAGCTGGCCACGGAGGGCAGGGTTGCGGGAGACACTCATGAGGAGAGCGGCGAAGACGAGACCGATACCGATACCGGCACCACCGAGACCGATGGCGGCGGAACCCATACCGATGTTCTTGGAGACCTCAACCATGGCGGAGGCGACCTCGGAGGAGTACTGGCGGCGGGCGGCAGTCTGGAAAGCCTTGGCCTGGAGGAGAGTGGGCGACTGGATGCGCTTGGGGGCACCGAAGGCGGGGGCCTTCTGGGTGAAGGTGCGCTTGGTGGCAGCGTTGAGCTGGAAGCGGGCAGCAGGGCGGGCGACCTTGGAGGTCTGGGCCATGACCGAGGCCATGCGGGAGGCGAAGACACGAGAGGTGGCCATTGCGATGGATGGGTTTATAGAATTATAGGGTGGGTGGAAGAGAGGAGAAAGAAAGAAAGAGGAGAGAGATGGACTTTTCAGGGAGAAAAAGCTGGGAAACTACGGGAGACGGCACTCACTAGGACATAAATACTCTACGGCCAAATTTTCGCCCGTCCGCCTCCTAGTCGGTCTTAGTGTCTGTGTAAGGTAAGAAAAAAGCCCTAAGTTGTGCGTGGACTGATACGCAGAATACACTGTGAGGAATGCTGGGGGTGCGTATGGGCGTGTAATTGGCATTCTTACCGCGTATTGCGACCTGTCGGGATCAGTCGGGTATTGTTCCAACTGGGTCCACTTGTGATTCGTCGAAGGGTATGGGTCTGAGTTATCTATATCCCCTGCATGGGGTTTCAAGGTTTAGCGGTACACCTAGTATGTACATGGAATATATTGGAAGGGAGTACGGTGTACGGATACCAATTGTAGAATCGAATTGCACAAAGGGATAACATGAGAAGAAAATGGAAATACAAGTTGTAATTATAAAATAATAAAATCGTAAAATCAAAACCACAATAATCCAACCCTTGCGGTGGATCTTAAGCATGTTCCAATCTGGTGGGTCGATCCACCTCCAAGCTCCTCTCCTCCAATCATAATCCTCTCGGGCCCACTATCTCTCTTGGATTTGTTCCCGGCGTCACCCAAACCGGCCCGACTCGGATTCCAGGTCCACCAACTACGGAGTCACTGGGCAACCACCGGCTGAAAGGAGCCAAATAATGTGGATGAGGTGGATATCGTCTCCCCCTTCGTCCCTCGGGAATCCACCTCACCGAGTGGTCATATTTGGAAAATACGTAATTCTGTACGGATCCGGTACTCCGAACAGCTTCGGTATCCTCCCCAGGCTTGCCGAGGGAGGTAAAAGCCATGCATCGGACCTGCAGGAGTTGGATTCTTAAGTAGATTTATAGCAGGGGGAAGGCAGCAGATTGGAAACGCCATAAGCAAGGAAACGAAAACCAAAAAAACCGAAACATAACAAAAACCCGGTTGTCGTGTCCTTGCTTTCGCAGCTCCACTTCTGGATTTACGACCCGCCGTAATCCGGCTATCGCAGTGAAATCTGGTCTTTCCGGATTGCCCTAAAGAAGATTACAGAACCTTTGCAGTAACGGTAAACGGCCATTCAGCCATTTGAACGGGGTGGGAGACCCTTATATAGACCGACCTACCCCCGTCGAATCTGCACCGAATTCAAGCATCCCAAACGGGCTAACCAGAGGCTCTTCGCGTTTCTCCCGGAAATTCGATTTTTGGGAATTTCGGTTGGTCGCAGCTTGGCGGACCCACACAAGCTCGATTCAGGGTGCAGTTACGTGTTCTAGCTATCAAAGCGGTTGATATACATACAACGTACAACATAGGAATTGGAAATAATAATAGTTACAGATATTGCAATTGCAATTGACTACAGCAATTGAGTAAAGAAGAAAAAGAATAAGAATAAGAGAACTGTTGTATACCTGAAGACGGCGGCGTCCGGGTGTAATCGGGTAAATACCAATACGGTACGGTAATACTCAACTCAGCGACTCATCAACTCATCATTGACCTGCCCGTGAGGTCATGCGAGAGGCCACTTGGCATATCCCGTATATTGTATAGCCTCAGCGCCTGTACACTCGTGTACGCAGTATTGCCGTAATGGCACATAAGACACACACAGTATCCATAGCTTAGTCTCTTTCTCAAACTATATCCACTCTCTCTATTCTAACATAAGAGCAAATGTGCCCCCCCGGGTGGTTAACTAGAACTCGTAGTTAGTTAACTCTTCCTTCCCTTGAACCGCACAACCGCACTCACGCCCTCGGCAGAAAAAGAAACACATGCAACGACGGCCCTAGCGCCAGCGCTACTCGCTACTCGCAGCTGATGCGCTGGACAGCGCATAAGCCATTATTTTTTCGTCGATATAGTTATTCGCCCCCACGGATTCAAAGCCCGCGCAGTACTGCATTACCCAAATCACCAAATATATTCTCTACAACCCAACGCGAGCCTTGAGAACGAAACCATGAACCGCGGCATATGATCCCAGGAACGACCTTTCCACGCCCTCCCGGATCTGCCCGAAAACATCGACTCTCGCAACCGACTGCCTGGCCTGCACACGTCGATCAACGCGGTCTGATCCCAGCAACCACACCGAGTAGGAAACACGTTTCAGGCACGATCCAGGCCGTAACAACAGCCACCTCAGGCTCGCGCTCGCGTTTCCGCCGTCGGCGAAACACCCATCAATATTCACCGCCCCTGCCGCAGAAGTCTTGCCCACAACATATGTAGACCGGTCATTGCGTATACCGTAGCCTTCGACGCGTTCCGCCGTCACAGCAGACCCACGTTCCTGTCCCCTATCTTCAAGCTGCGGATATACATACTGGTATGTTGTACCAGACCAGACCGGCCAGATCGGTCCGGTACCGGCAGTGGGGATTCCGGCGCGAAGCGAAATGCTTCCTGTAGTACATTGTAGATTGGTTTTGTTGGGAGCTAGTTGCTCCTGCTCGACGGCTACGGATGCATCGGATACCGAGGGTATTCCGAGTCAATGCCGTGAGATGCGCCAGTTTCATCCCGGAAAGGAAATATGAACCAGCCTGTTTACTGGAAAACATTGGTCGTGTGTTTCATCTTTCCGGGATTGAAAACATTGGTCGCGTGTACAACATACATGTTTGCCTCGGCATTGTTAATTGACAATGCTATCGAAGGTGAAGATGCCTTATTTCGGGCTATGAATGATCTATGATCTATCCTGCTTGAACATTCCGTACGACATAGTTACTCTGAGTCTACGGAGTCAGTTGTGTAATTCGTGCTTTGAAGCTGTGCACATGACCCTTCTTCAGCCACAGAGAAGATCATCGGAATCCACTAGCTATACGCGATTAGGACTAGTTTTCGATCTACGCGATCGAGATCCGACACCGTGTTGAGCACCATGTCGTACAACTTCAGGGGATTTCCCAGCAGAGTTCCGGTGAATAAAATAACGGTAGTGCAGAGGACAGGTATATAAAAAAGCTGTTGGATGCTAAGTCAAATTGAAGCTTGAAATAATCCATGTTGAATTGATAAATCCATGAGCCACTAGTCTTGTCCATTAAATTCAAGTTCTCCCTAATAAGGGCTAAAGCTAGTTAAAGAAAGCAAGCCAGCATCTGCATCCTAAGAATCAGCCATAGCACTCTTCAGAGCACTAGTCAGGTCCACATGGAAGAAAGGCCGATTGATTCCATCAACGACCGCCATACAGGTGCCGACACCAGATCGACCGCGACGACGATGGGTATTAACCTTCGTACTCTCACCAGTCTGCACAGTCTGGATATCATCCTCAGTGACACCCATCACCGACGAGGCACTGCTTTCCTGCACATTCAAGCCAGCCTCCAAGTCCTTTGACCATTCCTCCAGTCCGCCGACCTGAGACTGAGCTACTAACGCAGGTAGACCGCTATCCAAGATCTCTGCAACGTTAAAGATCGACCTCTGGCATCGAGGACCTGTCCCGTCTGAGACGGTGGGGAACCCGAAGCCGGCGGCTGCGAGAGCACGCTTCGTCCATTTGTTGTGGATGTTCGCAAAGTGCCACTGCACGCTGTCTGGTGATGCCCAGCGATCGAGCTGGTTGCGGACGTCGATGAGGTTCTGCACGGATGTGACGTCTACGTTGTTGACGGCGGCGAAATCGAGGATTATGGCGCGCAGAGTTGGGAGTGGGGAAGTGGGTGCTTCCTCCGACAGAAGAAGCTTGCGTTCAGAGCGGGTTGGACCAGGGTCGTTCCAGGGTCTATCGCCTGTTGTTTCCCATGCTTGTGGGTTTGTGCGCCGGGTCGCTTTGAAGATGTGGCTGACTAGGTGGTCTGTGTAGTGGTTTGCATTGGGATAGTTGAACCCTTCGGAGACTCTGTAGATGAAGATTCCTGGGGCTGGCTGGTGGATCTTGATTCGGGGGTTTGTGCCACCGTCATGTTCGGTTGGGAGGTAGATTCTTCGGGATCCTTCGGTATCATCTTCGAATTCTGTGTTTGGGTCCCCCTGAGATGCGTTGAGGATATGGTCACCCACGACTGAATGGACCTGAATGTAGCCCAGGAATTGACCCCGGGCTTTGGCAAGTCGGAAAAGGAGTACTGCTAGTGATACGGCGATTGTGCAGTAAATTCCGGTCTCGATGGTTGAGAATATGATCACGATAACGCCCATAAAGAAGATGAGTGCGTCGATTGGAGATACACGCCAGAATTGATAGGTGATACGGGGCGGCGTAACGAGATCTCCTACTGCGTGGATGATCACGGCCGACAAGGACGATTTGGGAATGAAGAAGAACAACGCAGGCAGCGCATAAATGGCAAGAAGGACGACAACGGCAGTGATCACTCCCGCGAGGGGAGTTCGTACGCCGCACTTTGCTTTGATAGCAGTTCGGGAGAATGAACCTGTAGCTGGGTATGCACCCAAGAACGGACCGAGTAGGTTCGATATGCCAATTGCAATAAACTCCTGCGATGGGTCAATGGTATAGTTGTTGACACGACCGAATGATTTCGAGATAGCAATGTGCTCAATCAACAGAACAATCACAGCGGCAGGGAGCTCACCAAGAAATGCCTTGATAATTGGAATATCTATTTTGGGAACTCCTGCGGCCTTGAATCCGCGGGGGACATTGCCAAGTAGCTTGAAGGCAGGATGATCGCGTCGATGGAGATTGACCGCAGCGCTGATCATGGTGTAGAAGAGAACGACAAAGGCAGTGCGCAATGTGGACAGAAAGAAGAACAGTTTGGCCTTGTGGGGCTGCTTCCTCGTTCCATAGTTGCACGCAGACCGTATACCATATAACATTGCCAAAGCTGTGAGACCCATAGCAGCGTCCATCCGAGCGGATGGAAGATGCTTCAGCGTATCAATGATGATCTTGTAGGTCGCCCCACGCGTAGAGAAATGCGCTTTCTCCCCGAGGACTGTCTTCACTTGGCCAGCACAAACATTGATGGCGGACCCAGTCATGAAAGCGGTGATAGCAGGAAGAGGGATAAAGTCGACGATGAAGCCAAGACGAAGCAATCCGAGGAACAACACGATCGCACCGCAAATAATTGCCAGAGCGGAAGCAAGGACCGGTGGAGGTATTTCGGGGTGAACTGCTTGAACCCTGATGATGATTGAACCCATGAGCGTAGACATGACCGCCACGGGCTGAGAGTGTTAGGTGTTTGTTTCTCAGGAAAGAAAGGACTGATCCTACCCCAATAGTGATGTCCTTGGACGTTGCGAAGAACCAATATATCAAGACCCCCATGAAGGAAGAATAGAGACCGTACTCTGGGGGCAGCTTGGCTAGCTCAGCGTATGCCATACCCTGTGGAATGACCACGGCGCCAACAGTAATTCCTGTTGAGAGCTGCAGATTAGTCTCTGTATTTGACTATTTGAATGGGACTATTCTCACCTGCCACGAGATCCCCAATCAACCATTGCACGTTGTAATACCCGATCCAATGGAGGAAAGGAAAGAGGCCCCAGACGTAACGACGAACTTGAGGAGCGGTAGGTGTATGACCTCGAAACCAGTCGCCCACCGTGGGCTCACGCTCGTAATAGCCATAAGTTCTAGTGTCATCTCCGACGATCGGGGGAATAGGACTCAAATCAATACGTAAAAGCTTTGCGAAAGCGTGACCGACTCGAGTCGAGATAGTCTCCGCCATTGTTGCGTCGGGTCTTTTCCGGCTCTTTATAGTCTGGAGGGTCACAACCAGCGGCTCGCCAGATTGCTATAGAGAAGAGGAGCTGAAGAAGGAAGAAGAAAAGGGGAATGGCTAGTAATGATAGCCATATTGCGTCCATAAGGCCCGAACCATAGGGCTGAGGGCTCATATACTTCGGTACGCGATGTCGTGCTTTTAGTGTTGATTGACGTTGATTGACCAAAACAATTGACTCTGACCAATCACAGTAGGTCTTGACGGTAGGTCATTCTCACGTCAGATGTGGGAGTTGACATTTACTCTGGAGAGAAATAATAGGAGAGAATAAAGAATAAAATGTGGGAGATCAGTAGGAAAACGTCGATCAATTCTCGTAGGGCTGACCGCTTGGACCCACCCCGGATAAGGCTGATCTCCAGGCTATTTACATGTTGTTATATGCTATGTTGTATGTTCTATGAAGTATTCGCTTGTTATGCACTTCTTCCTCGATTAACTCTGCTGCCTGGAATTAGTTGCGTGTCAATTCTATCCCTTCGGTGTGGGACTTCTTTAACCCCTTTGTCCCCATCGCATTCGACCTATAATACTCTCCAACCTTCCTGAATTCCCCGAGAATATGAACTGCCCCTATATACTCCGTTGTCGACAGTTCTGTGCCTGTGGCGAAGGTGGAGAGAAGCGGGTACCTGAGCTACCCCACAAACATGGAATGGCTTCCCTTTCGGGTTAGCCTTTCCGATTTGGGCTTAGCGTACCAACACCTCCTGGTCGGACCGGGATCTTCTTTGCTGAGTAAGGATCCTTGCATTTTCTTCCTCCGCTGGTAGTACATACAAACAACATGCGATACGATCGATGCAATTTGAGCGGCTACTTGCCTTCACCATTTCCACCGGCCATATCTAACCACGATACTCTGGTGATATTGATACCCCTATCGGGACCAATGCTCCTCGTTGTCGGAATTTCCTTAAGCGCGTGGAGTCTGGACAAGTCTCTTATGCATGGTAAGCCTCCTTCCGACTTCGGAAACACCTGCACTGCGTCTAATATTCACGAGGGTCTTGCAAATCACGGAGAATGAAGAATAGATCTGGTTCTGTGACAAATAGGCCTATCAAAACTCATGTCTGCTCCGTAATGACAAGAGTTGACTAACGATCTTGGCTAAAGTTGGGGCCCCAGCCCCGGATTTATGGGTTGACCAAGCACCAGAAATGGCCTACCCACCTAGGTGGGCTACGGGTCATGGGCCAAGGCGTACATTAGCTTGGTTCCCGTGGCGTTGATCTCAATACCGCCATAGAATGGTTTAAAGGGGTTTCGGTTCCACTTGTTGTCTCATCGACGACAACTACAACCGCATTCCATGCATAAGAGAGACTGTTTCCATCGTCCCTCAGAACGATGACATCTTGTCCTCAGTGGAATCCCCGAGTCTCACAAGTGGGAGTTCGATCATACCCTTAAGTCCCCGATTGCCAAGCGTATGCGCAAGCGATGCGAAGACCTTTTGGTCTCGAAAGCACGGGTGATCCTGAGTATCCACTAGCTCAAGAGCGGCTGCTGCTTATATGGTACTAATGCACGAGAAACTCAATGTATAGTCGGACCGTCTGTTCTTATGGACACTGGGGCTCCGGTTGAAGTATGGCTGTTAGTTGTGCAGTTGATGTCGCTAGCCTAGCTGAAAGCTCATTTCCCTGAGAAATGACACTGCTCAGTATACAGAAATGGATGGGTGCACTTGGCCCAGCGCTTGCCGTTGGTGACTTCGATGCACTGCCTCTTTGATCCCGGTTGGATCTCAGGCGATGACTTCTTTATTTTCTAGTCTTGGGTCTTTTTCAATGATAAACATTTTATACAGATCCTGGGGAAATACCTCGGTCATGAAGTATTTGATATGAAAGGGTGTTTGGAAAGAAGAGAAGAGGAAGAAGTAGCTATCTTTGGCTAGTGGTCTTGATATTTGTATCGTTTTCTGGTATATATGGCCAGATAGCTTCTACATCTTTTATTATCCCGTCTAAACGTGATGCCAAGAGAAAAATTAACCTTCGTTCTCTGACCGCATCGTACCTTCCCAAATAGGCAGCTGAGCACTTGGGCTAGACTTACCTAATAAATGCCTAATGAGGGAAAGCCCTAATTATGTTGGTCTGAATGTAAGCATAGACATTAGTGAGGAACTTGCTCAATGGGTTAAATTTAGTCGATATGGAGACACCTGGTATAAGCATTCGGTATCAAAACCAACCTCATATTTATATATCGTACAAGCTCCCCTTAATCTTCCGCCTCCGCATATACTCCACTAACCAGACTTGATTTTACCAAGACTGGGCAACGATAGCCGATAATTCCCCCCCCGGGAGGAGACTAGTGGGGTTTGGAAAGGAGAACAAGACCAACACTCGGGTTCAATCTGGTCCAACTCCTCCGTATACTATTTTTACTCCGTTAGATTGGCCTCTCCTGCGGAGTCCGCTTCGGGACCGGGAAGCCGACCACACCCGCGTATATATATCTGGCAATCTGCTGGGACGAACTACGGAGTAGGTGAAAGTCGGTGGAATACAAAAGTCCATTCTTCCTAGGAACTGCAGAAAGCTCAGGCCAGTGCAGATTGCTGCAGCTATGTGCTTGTGCTTTGAGCCGGAAAAGCGGCTTCGGAGGCCCAAGCTTAGGGAGGTCGCACGCAGCACGCAATGCACGAGAGCTACTAGTGTGAGGCACGAGCTTTTGCGAAACCTCTAGATTCCGGATCCTAGAAAATGGGCGCTGCGTCGTACGGAGAAATAATAGAATGGCGATCCGTAGTGTTCCGCATATATGGGCCCTGAGCCAGAGAAAAAAAAAACATCAGCCAATCCGTGGAGAAACTATTGAAAATGGAACATCCACCATATGTTGTCCTTTTATTTTGGAGATCACTGCAATAATGACTCAGGACCATATGACAGGTGGATAAGAACCTTGCGGCCTGCCATTGGCGCCGGTTTATCAATTGGGGGTCGACGCTTTTTTAGCGCCCAATTCGGGTTCGATTGACGGGGTTGTCGTTTGGACTGTGCCACCAGAAGGAGGGGAAACGAGGCAGATGTTGTATCAAGATAGTCCACCGACTGTATATCATACGGTTGCACCGCCAGAAGAAGCAAAAAACGAAAAGCTCAAACAATAAACCTCGGCCAGCTTCACCGCATATTGGAAGTGGAGAGCCGGATGAAAGAGCGCGCAAAGTACGAGCGGCCATTGGACGTCGAGCTCCAGCGATGCTCCAAAGGTGAAAGACGAAAAGACCAAAGAGGAAAGGCGCCATGTAGTCACTATGCCAACTGTTTCCCCACTGTGAGCTGTGCCGTGACGGGCCTTTTTTTTTTGTACATTTTGGGCTGAGATTTTTTTCTGCCTTTTTCCCCTCCTCCCATACTCTCACAATAATCCATTGCCCTTTTGCTCTGTGAGCTTGTGTTTTCTGTACACGATAAATCTAGCGTTAAATCTTTGCTGGTCAAATTGTGAAAAACCCCCAATCTCCTAATATCCCATCCATCATCTTTTTACGACATTACGACCTTGAAACGAAATAAACCATGGCCAGCGTGCAAGAGCCACTGATCCCGGAAAGTCATGTGCTGCCAACAGATGCACCAGTTGAACCAATTTCTTTCTCAGATGAGAAATCCACTGCCAGCGCGACCAAGGCAGATCTGAGCGAATCGACTGCCTCGCTCGACTCCACAGCACCACAATCCAAAGATGCAACCCAACCCGAGGTCCCCTTGACCGCCGCGGAAAGGAAGAAGGCCAAGAAGGCAAAGAAGAAGCAGCAAAAGAGACAGGAGAGTATTAGCTCCCTGGCTGCTTCGACGCGAGAAAATTCTGCCGAGCCGGTGGAGGAATCACCAGTCGAAGCTCCCAAGGCAGCTGAGCCCGCTGCCGAGCCAGTGGTGGAGGAAAAGCCTGTCGCTTCCACCAATGTAGAACCCGAGGTTGCTGAGCCTATCACGGAAGAGCTAAAGACTGCCGAGGCCGTTCCTGAAGTCGCCGCCGAGCCGATCGCCGAAGAGCCTCCCGCGGCAGAAATCAAGACTGTCGAGGAGGCTGAGCCTACCACCGAAGAGAAGCCTACCATCGAGGAAAAGGCTACCGAGGCCACTTCCGCTGAGGCTGCCGTTGAGCAGCCTGCCGAAGCTGTCGTGGAAGAATCCAAGGCGGTGGAGGATATCACTGAACCTACCAAGGAAGAGTCAGAGACCGTCGAGGCCGTTCCTGAAGCTGCCAAGGAAGAGACTGCCACTGAAACTGCCGTGGAAGAATCAAAACCCGTCGACACGATTCCTGAAACCATCGCAGAGCCTGTCGTCGAAGAGACTCCCGCCATGGAGGAATCGAAGACTGTGGAAGCTGTTTCTGAAATCGCCCAGGCGCCCGCTGTCGAAGAATCCAAGGCTGAGGAAGTTTCCGAGCCTACCACTGAAGCTGCCACGGAAGAAAAGACTACCGAGGCTGTCGCAGAGCCTATCGTCGAAGAGACTCCAGCTGTTTCAGAATCCAAGGCCGAGGAGGCTATTCCTGAAATCGCCCAGGAGACTCCCGTCGAAGAACCCAAGGTTGAGGTTGCCGAGCTAATCGAGACGCCTGCCACTGAAGAAAAGGCCGTCGAAGAAACTCCCGCCGTGGAGGAATCCAAGACCGAGGAGGTTGTTCCTGAAATCGCACAGGAGTCGCCCGCCGTTGAGGAATCGAAGCCTTCCGCAGAAACAGCCGAAATCGCCACAGAAGAAAAGGCCATCGAGGCCGTCCCCGAGACTGTCACTGAAAAGACTCCTAGCGCTGAAGAACCTCAGGCTGAGGTTACTGAGCCCATCACCGAGGAGAAGCCTGCCGTGGAAGAAAAGGCTGTCGAGGACGCTCCTGTTGCTGTCGCAGAGCTTGTCGAAGAAACTCCTGCCGTGGAAGAATCTAAGACCGAAGAGGTTGCTACACCTGCTGAAGAAAAGGCTGTCGAGACCGCCTCCGAAACCCCCGCTGTGGAAGAATCCAAGGCCGAGGAGCTTATTCCTGAAATCGCCCAGGAGACTCCCGCCGCTGAAGCTGCCTTGGAAGAATCAAAACCCGTTGAGACCGTTTCTGAAACCGCTGTAGAGCCTACTGTGCAAGAATCCAAGGCTGAGGAGATTGCTACGCCTGCCACCGAAGAAAAGGCTGTCGAGACCGCCTCCGAAACCCCCGCTGTGGAAGAATCCAAGGCCGAGGAGCTTATTCCTGAAATCGCCCAGGAGTCGCCCGCAGTTGAAGAATCGAAGCCTGTCATAGAAACCACCGCAGAGGAAAAGGCTGCCGAAGTCGTCCCCGAGACTGTCGCCGAGGAGACCCCCACCGCCGAAGCTGTCTTGGAAGAATCAAAGCCCGTTGAGACCGTTTCTGAGACTGTCGCCGAGCCTGCTGTGGAAGAATCTAAGGCCGTCGAGGTTGCTGAACCTACCACTGAGGAGAAGCCCATTACTGAGGAAACGGCTGTCGAGGCTGCCCCTGAAACTGTCGCAGAGACTGTCATCGAAGAAACTCCCGCGGTGGAAGAATCCAAGCCCGTCGAGGCTGCCCCTGAAATCGCCCAGGAGACACCCGCAGTTGAGGAATCCAAGGCCGAGGAGGTTGCTGAGCCTATTACCAAGGAAGAGCCTACTACTGAAGAAAAGACCACCGAGGCTGCTCCTGAAACTGTCGCAGAGGCTATCACCGAAGAAAAGCCCACCGCTGAATCCGCCACAGAAGAGTCGAAGCCCGCCGAGTCTGTTGCCGAAACCGTCGCTGAACCGGTTGTCGAGGAGACTCCCGCCGCTGAAGCTGCCGTGGAAGAATCCAAGCCCGTCGAGGCTATTCCTGAGACTATCGCAGAGCCTATCGTCGAAGAAACTCCCGCCGTGGACGAATCCGAAACTGTCGAGGCTACCCCCGAGACCGTTCAAGAGACCCCCGCAGTCGAAGAATCCAAGGTTGAGGAGGTTGCTGAGCCTATCGCCGCGGAAAAGGCCGTCGATGCTGCTCCCGAAGCTGTCGAAGAAACCCCCGCGGTGGAAGAATCCACCATTGTCGTCCCTGAAACCGTCCAGGATGCCCCCGCCACCGAAGCAGCCGTGGAAGAGTCCAAGCCTGCCGAGGAGCCAGTAACCGAGAAGGCTGTCCAGGAACCGACTGTGGAGGTGGAGGCCGAGAACAGTGCTGACACCACCGTGGCTGTTCCAGAGATTGCTTCAGAGGCAACTGCTGTGGAGCCGACTGTCGAGGTTTCCGAGCCTACCAAGGAGGTGGCTGAAGAGACTCCCGTTGAGCAACCTGTCACTGAGGAATCGACTGCTGAGCCAATCAAAGAGACCGAGATTGCTGAGCCCATTCCCGAGCAGACTGTCGATGCTGTCAAGGAATCTGCTGTCGAGGAGCCCACTGAGGTTGCTGCCGTGGAGACAGCCACCACTGAGCCCACCACCGACGCAATTGAAGAGCCTGCCACCGTTGTCGCCGAGGAGGCCACTGCTGAGAAGGCTCAGGAGCCTATTGAGGTCGAGTCTGTCAAGGAGACCACCGAACAGGCCGCAGCAGAGGAACCAGTTGTGGCGGAGCCTGTTGTTGAAACCACTAAGGAATTGACTCCTGAGGAGTCCCCCGTTGTTGAGACTGCCGCCATTGCTGAGGCTGCTTCTGCCGCTGCTCTCACCGAGGAGTCTGTCGCTACTTCTGAGACCACTGAAACCGCCGCCATTCCCGCAGCTGCTGCCGCTGCTCATGTCACTGAGGAGTCTACTGCTACTATTCCTCAGGCTGCTGCCGCCATTGTCGAGGAAAACGCCACTCCCATTGAGTCTGTGCAAGAATCAATGGAGAAGACTGTCCCCGCTGAAACTGCCAAGGAAGTCGCCGTTGAGCAACCGGAAGTTACCAAGCCTGAGGAAGTAACCGAGCAGACAACCGAAGAGCTCGTTGCTGACAAGGCCGTTGAAGAGCCCGTTTCTGAGACCTCTGCCCCAGAGCCGGTGGTCGAGGAGACTCCCGTTGTGGAAGAGACTCCCGTTGTGGAAGAGACTCCCGTTGTTGAAGAGACTCCCGTCGAGTCCACCAAGGAACTCATCGTCGAGGAGCCCATCGAGTCTTCCACAGAGGCTCCTGCCGTCGCCGATGTTACTGCAGACGAAGCCGAGAAGGTCGAGGAGAAGCAACCTGAGATTGAATCTATTGCTGAGCCAGTCGTCTCTGAGCAGACCGAGACTGCTACCGCTGCCGCTGTTGAAGAGCCTGTTTCTCAAAACGCTGAGCCTGCTGTCGCCGAAGAGAAGGTCGTGGATGAGCCAGTCACTGTTGCAGAGGCTGTTGAAGTTGCTGCCGCTGCTGCGGCCGTGGCCGTGGCCGAGGCTGTCATTGCCGAGCCCGCTGTTGCTGAAACTCCCGTTGTCGAAGAAAAGATCATTAATGAGCCAATTGCTGTTCTCGAAACCGCAGCTGAGTCCACTACTGAGTCTGTCCCCGAACAGACTCCCGAGGTGGCCCCCGTTGTTGAAGAATCTGCTACTGAGGCACCAGCTACTGATAAGGCCGAGGATGTGACCGAGCCCGTCATTGTTGAGCCTACCATCCAGGCTATTGAAGTCACTGAAGTACCAGTCGTGGAGGAGCAGGTTGCCGAAGAGCCTGTGAAGGTTGAAGAGCCCGTTGAAGCTGCTGCTCCCGCGGAGCAAACTCCCGAGGCAGCTCCAGTGGAGGAATCTACCAAGGAGCTCGAGCCCGAGACAACCGTGCTGGAGGAAGTTGTCATCGAGCAGCCCACCCTCGTTGCTGAAGAGGCTGCAGCCGAAGCGCCAGTTGTTGCTGAGGTTGTCGAAGAGCCCGTACAAGAGGATGCTAATGCTGAGGTCCTGGAACAGTCTACTTTTGTCGTGGAGACCATTTCTGCAAATGGGGTCGACGTTGTGGCTATTTCTGAGTCGATTTCCTATGCAGACGAGCCTGAGATTGTCGCTGAGACATCTGATGTGAAGGAGTCGATTCAGCCCTCCACCTCTGATATCGAAACATCGGCACCAACTGAGCCCGAAGCCAAGCAAGAAGAGACCGCTAGGTCCGCCTCTGACGAAGCTACCGAGGATACTGGCATCAGCACCGAGATTCTTGGTGCTGGTGCTGCTGTCGCTGCCGCCATTGCTGGCGCCAGCGTGGCCGCTGTTGCTCACCACGAATCCGAGACTGCAGCAGAGACCAATGCAGACAAGGAATCCGTTCCGAAGGCTGAGACCCAGCCCCAGGTTCCCGCAGCAGATGCACAGTCCACAGACGGTAAGCCAACACCGTTCTATACTTCATACCAACCGTCTGCCATATCTCTCGAAACTGATCCCGCTCTTGCAGCTCTTGCTGGCGACCGCGAAGCCCTTCTTCGCAAGCTCAACCAACCCTCTACAGACCAACTGCCCACGGCTACCCAGCAACCATCGGTCGCGACAGTCGAAAGTGCCACCGAGTCCCAGCCTGCCGCCGAGGCCAGCAAAGGAATTACCGTACCCGCTGCAAATGCATCCGACGCTCAGCCTGATGCCGACAATGCGCTTACACCAAAGAATAATGATGAGGATGCTCGCTCGTCGAGTCAGAACCGGTCAGTGACTGCTGTTTCTCTAAATGGTGCACCTGACAGCTGGCTCAAAGCAATCCTGCGCACTGTCTTTGTGAATTTCTTTGGGGCCATCTTTTCACCTTTCCGTCGCCACAAGGCCTCCAATTAGACTGAATCTTGTGTTTTCCCGTGCTTTGTCTTCTAGCCAACTGTTTTTATTTCCTTGTGTCTCTCTCCTATCTCTCACCGTTGAAGAAATTTGTGGTCATGATGCAAATTCTGTTTTCAAGCTGATTAACTGACGCTCGATCAGCAATTTGTTTTTCATTGCGATTTTTGCCATGCCCTTCCTCGCGATCTTCTGGGGTTATTCTTGAGCCGTCGATTCTCGATACTGCCGGAAGCGGTGGCGGTGACGGTCACGTGTATCCAGGAGCCCTTGGAAGTTCGAGGATCTATATCCGTGGAATTACGGGATGTGTGTGGCACCACGAAGTATAAAACCTCTCCGGGTGTCCCCCAACCCACTCACTGATTTTATTCCCCTGTATTATCTGTTCCTGGTTCATATTTACGAATTCCATTTGCGTTTTGCTTTGCTTTGCTTACATCTTATGGTTAATGATTTCCTTTTGTTGTCTCCAATGCTGTGTTGGTGTTGGCATTGCCGGCCGCTCTTGATGGATCTGTCTGGCTTGCTACTTATCCAGTATACTTATGACATGAATTTGATGAATAAATTCTACTTGAACTGTCTTTGTGCTTGTTTGCCTGTAATCTTCTGGTTTCTTTGCATATGTATTGGATTCTATGTGCTGGACTTCCTTTGTTCTTTGATTGTTGCACTTCACTATGCTTTTGTGTCTGTGTAACATGTTGGAAAGTTGGTATATAGACTTGCGACTTTGCCAGCTTTTCTTCAGGTAGAGAGTCTCTTTGCCTTTGCGTTTCGTTGCTGGTGTGTTGGTGTCCGTATCTTCGATTCGAGTATGTCAAATACAGAGAACCTGGGCCATGAAGTGCCCAGGTGGAAGGCTCCTTCGATATGGGGTATATGAGCCATGATAAGGTCTTAGGCAGCCGTGCCTTCCCTTCGGTTTCAATGGTGGTTGTCATCATAGTACCTCGGGCACGTGTCCGCGGTTGTTGACCCTGTCCTCTTCGCTTGTTGTTGCCACACACACACGTCTTCCTTTTCTTCTTTTCTCCCAACCATTATCACAACTTTCACCATTTGCTCTGGAAAACATCAGAAAAATGGCGAGAAAAAGTCAAGGTTAGTAGATTCCTTTCATTTTTGAAGCATTCATCACCTTTTACCTCATGGAGTGTCTCTTTCGGTGGACATAGGCCCCGTGTCTACCGAGCACACCATGGAACTGGGCCTTTTCATCGGAACCCAGTCTTCCTATGAGCCTAAGCCTGGCTCCCAATAATCAGGTCTCCTCCTTATGGGATTGAGCCTGGCTTCTGGGAATCAGGTCTCTTCTCTGTGGGGTTGAGCCTGGCTCTTGGGGATCAGGTCTCTCCTCTATTGACTGAGCCATTTCCTCCGTGGAATCGAGTCTCTTCCTGTGAGCCCGTGAGCTTGAGCCTGGCTCTTGGGAATTGGGTTTCTTCTCTGTGAGATTGAGCCGGTTCTTGAGAATAGGGTGGATTGGGCCATTCTGCCTGCAGAATCGGACATCAGCTTGGCTCATGGGAATCGGGTCCCTTGCTATAGAATCGGCATGATTCTTTTGAATCAGGTCTCTTTCTTGAGCTTTGGATCGGTTCTTTGAATCATATTCCTTTCTTTGGTATTGCGGTTGATTCCTTGAGGTCAGATGCTTGGCTCTGTGCAGGCAAACCCATCTCTATGGTGGTCCTTTCTATAGAAGCAAGTCCTGTGGGTAAAGGAATCATTCTTCTGCTCATAGAATATGCCTCGAAAGAAACGATAGAGAAAGAGACACTCAAAAACATGAGAGATATCTATGACTTTGGTCTCACATGGTCAATTGAAGGCTTTCACTTCCTGTTTATTTCGAAGCAAGAAGGGTTAACATGAGTCACTGACACTTGATTTCCTAACAGACACCGATTCGGAAGGTCCCCGCGGCCGTACTGGCCGCCCTGACACTCCCTCCTCTGCAACTTCGTCTCGTTCTCGTCGCAGCACCCTCTCCCAGATCGTACAATTCGACGAGCCCGACATGTGTAACCCACTGGCATCTCCTCGTTCTGACGTGACTGTCACTGCAGTCCCAGTGTCTGCGCCTGTCAAGTCGACCAATCCTAAGGTTGGTTTGCCTTCTGGCAGTGTCGCAGGCAGCAGTTCGCAGTCCTTGGAACTGCCTGAGCCTTCGCTTAACAAACGTAACGCGTTCGCACAACAACAAGGAAAATTCCCCTCCCACCTTTCTTCCCACCCTTCTCGTTCTTCTCTCCGTGCTACCACTCTCCGTTCTTCTTCCATCCCCCCTGTTCCTCCTCTTCCAATCTCCATCCTGAAGAATCGACCGGGCAACCTCACCCTGACTGAATTCAAACCTCGCTCTTGTTCTGCTCCCCCATCTCCACCCAAGATGGCTGGAAATCCTAACTTTCCGGATGGCAACAACAAGCCACTCCCCGTGTCTCCCAGATACGACCTTCACACACCCAGCCCTCGCGCACCCATCTTCAGAAGGGATGACATGCACCGTCCCAGTCTCAGTTCCATGGAGCGCACTAGCGGTGTCAGTCCTACCACCGTGCCACGTTCCAACTTGACTCTCAAGGATCTTCCTGAGGCTGTTCGATCTCTCCAGTACCGTTTTGAGACAGACATTCAGCGACTGTCAAAGAAGATCGACAACATCAACAAGCTCGAACAGAAAGTCGATGACTTTGTTACCGTGACCCGGGACTACATTAAGGACCAAATGGATGCCCAACTTGAGCGCCAGTCTGACATGTCTTTCGAGGTTACCAAGGCGAAGCTTGACGTGGATGACGTCAAGGAGCAGGCTCACGACCTCAAGGAACAGGTCGCCGAAATCAAGGAGGTGGTTCACGACATGCGCAGCGACATCAACGAGCTGACCTCGTCTTTCGGTAACCTGAGTGCCAAAGTCGACATGTGCCTCGGGGGAACGGACAACCCCGATGAGCAATTCCTGGCCTACCAACGTCGAAAGAACAAAGAGATCGACGAGGATATTGAGGAGATCGGGTCTCAGACCGAAGACCACGGAAAGCAGCTTCTCTACTTGAGACAGATGCTGATCCGCAGCAACACTGCTCTCCGAGTCCTGCAAGATGAGCACGGACTCAAGATGTCTGATGACGTGGAAAGCATTCTTCCACCCAACCCTTTGCCTGCACGGGATACCGTTGCACCCACTGGGACCCTGAGGACTCGTGTGTCCTCTGGGGTTGGAGCAATTTCGCCAGCAACGGCGGCTCCCCCAGTACCAGTCGCGGCGTCCGCGACAATGACTTCGCCAGGATCGAGCTCTGCAAAGAGTTCGATTCCTCGTCGGTCGAAGAAGAGGGGCTCGAAGAAGTCCGCCAGCTCTTCTTCCGCGAAGGAGACCACCGAGGGGGAGGCGGCCCCCTCTGTGCCCACCATTCCTTAGGGAATTCGCATCCCCCGGGATGCTGTCGGCGATGTGCCCGTCCCACTCGCCGACGTTCACACTCTGTCCCGGCCTCAGTCAAATGAGGTCGGGATCTCCACGATCCGGACCGCGGAGCCTTCGGGCCGCGTGTCCCCCAGTTGAGCCTGGCAAGGATGGGGGCTCGCAGGTAAGCTCGCTTACTTGCGAGCCATGCCAGTGCTCAACATGATGCAAGTACAACCAGAAAAAAAAAAAACAAAAAAAAATCGAAAACCAAAAAAGCCCCAAAAAAAAACCAACTCTCATCTCTTTGTTGGATTTGGAGGACTTGGGGCCAGCTTTGTGAAATTTCCTGTGTGGATTAGCATGTCAATGAAGATGTTTGATTATAATTTTCCAAGTAGAGTAGATTGTATCTGGATATGCATGTAAAATTATTCAAAACAGTATTTACAGTATTTACTTAGAGGACATCATCATCTTTTCAATCTCAACCGCTGCCTCTCTCACCTGTGGACAGTAATGCACACGCAACAGTTCACCCTCCCACACCGTACCAGCAAAGACATTGGTAGCTTCAATATCAGCAGCAAAAGCATTGAACACACCATCACCTTTGCGCTCCTCTGTATGCCACAGCGAAGAGATACGACGACCATGATATTTCGAGACTTGGTTCATAAGCGCAAGTGTTGCAAGAGCAGACTTCTCCGGCAACTGGAGGGAAGTCGTCATCAGACGCTTGGAGAAACTGGCAAGTCGGCTTGGGGGCGGGTTGCCGTGTGCGCGAGATAACAGAGTTGGCTGCAAGCAGCGGAGGAGGAGGACCATCGGGGTCTGGAAGTTGACCTTGTTTTTGGAGCGGGACTCAGAGAGCTGTTTGCCTTCCGCGGAGGAGTTGGGGTCGGGGAGGCGGAGGGCTGTGTCGGGGTTGAACTCGACGTCTGGGTTCATGGAGAGGGAGTAGAGGGATCGGTAGAGGTGCTTGATGAAGAAGTTCAGGTCGAGGTGGAGACCTGCGGCGGCTTTGCTAGCTTCTTGGCCTTCTAGAAGGGCGAAGGCAGTAACGGTGCAGAGCAGCGTCCTTCGGCGAGCGTCCCGGGCTGCGCTTTCGGCAATTGTGACATTGTCTTCGTCTTCGTCGTCTTCCTCGTTGACGACCTCCTGGTCGCCCTCCACGCCCATTTCCTCGCGTTCTGCGTGATTAATCAGGTCTTTCAGAGCTTCGAGTAAATCACCGAAGAAGTCCTGGTTAATAAGGTGGGCATATTTCGCCAGACCCTCAAGTACAGGACCCATCAGTTCGGGAATGCGGAGCTTGAGAATGCGGAAATAGAGTCCGAATACAAGCTTTAATGTTTCGGCTTGGTTCTTGTCTCTTTGTTCGTGCGATACCACTGCGTCTGCTTGTCGCATATCCTTCTCGACTTCCTTTCGCTCCTTTTGAACCTTGCGCTCTCGCTTCGTGCGGAATTCACGCTTTTGCTTTGGTTTCTTTCCATGGGGGACTTCTTCTTCTTCTCGGTCCACTCGGTCTCGAGACGCCTTCAGGTGGAACTCGCCGAGCAAACGAAGATGGAGGAATGTGTCCAAAACACTGGGGTGAATGTGGAAGTCCCTGGCCTTCAACATCTTTGCTAGCAGACGAACAGCTTCGAGGGAAACGGTTCCATCGTCATCTTTGGCGAATACGTCCTCCATGGTTTCGCGGCACTTGACATAGTCGGCATCAAGTTTTCTCCGTGCAAGGCGGTTCACCAAGATCTTCAGGAGCTCGCTGCGGAAGTTGAAGTGTGGCACGGCCAAGAGCATAGTACAGGCCATCGAAATCGCGAAGCTCCTCAGTCCAGCATCTGTGGGGCCATCTTCTTTGGATGGCTTGACCAGCGTAGCGAGCTTCTGGACATAGCCTCGATATCCTGCCACGAGGGACTGTTCGAAGTCTCGGAGCTTGCGCACTTCCTTTGATACCCTGCCGGTCTGGTCCTCTTCGCTCAATGGACGAATACGGTATCCGGGAATAACATCCTTGTAGAGAGCTGCCTGTGAGGCTAGAGCCAGTTTCTTGACTGTGACAGGTGTGTATTTTTTCGACACCATCTCGGCCATTGTTTTGAACAAAGAGATGTGCTCCTCGGGATCTTCATTGATCAAGGTTGCCATCTTCGCTAGCTCTTCCTTTGCCTGCAAGATTTGTAGCTTCACCGGAATCTTGGGTGCTTCTTCCTCGGATTCTTCTCCGTCCTCGCCCTCAGAGCCATCCTCCTCGTCATCATCGGTACCCAGAAAGCTGTCGGTTTCCTCGCCCTGGTCTGCAGGCTGGGCTTCGGCCTGGACAAAGCCTTCAGATGTTTTGATTGGCAATCGTGCGTTCTCGCCAGCTTTCTTGGTGTTCTTGCGCGGGCGACGTTCGTAGTCTTGCTCAACATCCCACTCTTGGTCGGCTTTGGAGCGCGATGAGGAGTCCTCAACATCGGCTGGAGGACTCAATCGTCTCCGCTTCACTTCTGGACCGCGCGCCATTTTGTAACTGGAGATTTGGGGAATTGACGGTGAAATTTGCGGAGAATAGTAAAAAATATCTTTAGAGTGAAAAGGCGGTCCCGAAAATTCTAGGCGGAAAGACAGTCATTGCTCTGATTGGCTCTTCATGTCCGGTCCATCGCTATAAATTTCAGGTCCGCTTCTTGGCGGTGAGATATTGCCCGACATTGGTTTTTTTTCTTGCTCCTCACTTCCCGACGATACAAGCTCGTTGCTACTCAACTGTTTTGCCATATTTTCAGCTTCATATCCGCCAATATGAGATCCCTCACAGAAGTGCGTACTAAATGCAATGACCATTGATTACTTTGACTAACCTATCCCGCTTTTAGGAAGAGACACGGACACTCTTCACGAAGCTAGCTTCCTATACCGGCCGCAGTCTCAATTCTCTTATTACCCCGGCCGAAGATGGATCTATGAGTGTTTTCCGCTTGCAAGGATCCCGGGTTTACTACGTGGACAAGGAGATTGCCAACCTGAGCATCTCATTTCCGCGCGATCAGCTTCTCAGCATGGGCACTATGATAGGGAAATACACTAAGGCGAGTGTCATTAGCTCTGTTCATATTCTGATCAGTGATGCTAATATCATGGCAGACGGGCAAGTTCCGCATCAACCTAACAGCTCTGGATCTCCTGGCGCAACACGCCCGGTACAAGGTACGTATCACAATCTAGACAATTCAACAAGGCATGCTAACTCTATATCTCTGGCACAGGTATGGATCAAAGCAAACGGAGTGATGGTAAGCTTGATATTTCAACTTTGATAGGGTCTGCTGTACCTTGCTAACAAGTTTTAGCCTCTGTTGTATGGCGGTTCGGTTTTGAAAGCCCACGTGGCTAGGTTCAGGTTGGTTATCCTTTAAATGACTATCCTTTTGCAATGCTGACCGTTTTCTAGTGAGGATGTCGCAGAAAACCAGGGAATTGTGATCCTGGACTCCAACGACGTCCCCTTGGGATTCGGAGTTACAGCAAGGTCATCCGCGCAGATCGCAAAATTAGATCCTACCAGTATCGCGATCCACCGTCAGGTAGGTGGAGCTTAGCTCTAGGTTTTTACTTACATTGGCTAACCCAAACGAACAGGCCGACGCAGGAGAGTACCTCAGAGAGGTGAGTTGGATCTATCTTCGAATTATCGAGGATCAAATTGCTAACATCCATATTAGGAGGATACGTTGTTCACCACCTAAACAAATTTGAACACCAAATCTTACATGTTTGCAACTTGCAAAAGGCGTTTGGGAGTTCTACCTGATCTATTTGATCTTACAAAAGTTGACTGTACTTTTTACCATCGAATCCCGTGCTCATTGCTCCTAATGTGATGAATTGATGGCAAATGTTGACCACAAACTTCTCTGTAATGGTTACTATATGAAAATACATACTCTGAATACTCACAAATCCATGTCCAATGTAATGAAAATAAAAGCTCATGCCAAGTCTATCCATGGATGTATAGTTCGGGTTGTAGTTGATATTAAGACTGTTTGGAGGACTTGATGAGTCAGCACCATGATCACGGGCAGCTCCAGATGATAACTCACTACAGTCCTCATAGCCCTGGTGTTTCTCGTAACTACTTAGCCGAGCATAGTTTCTCTCACACGCACACTACAAATCTGGTGCTTTTAGCCCCCCGCGTGTTTTCACCACTTACTTCATTTCTCCCGCGCGTAGTGGACACACATATTGTCAACCACCACCATGCCACCATACACAAGCAACCAGAAGCACCTAATCGCTGAGTTTGTCAGCTGTACACGGACAAAGGAGTCTGTTGCTGTGAAAGTGAGTAACTTGCATGCTTTACCGGCATATTCTCCCCTGTGTGGTCTGCTTGAATATCTTGAGACGCTTCTATCCGGTCACGTGGGATCAAAAAGGACTAACTTTCTGATATAGTTCCTCAAAGCATGTGGATGGAGTTTGGCTCCCGCGCTTGACGCGTAAGTGCTTGTCATCATACTTGTACCGGAATTTTATGTCGCTTTGTTTTATTTGTCTCCAACCCCTACCTGCACATAAGTCCCAAGATGCTAGCAGGTCGCTAGAGCATCTTTCCTTCTCAGCCTTTCCTAAGTCTCACTTGGGGAAACTTTCAATCTCTCACTACATCCTTCATCGTCCCAAATGCCTCGAGTCAAGAAGCCGAGAAAGGCGAAGAAGAAGTGATTGCCCTTCCCTAGCCCCATGACAATATACCTGATCATCCCGCTCTGAAGATGTCATACATGGACAACACTTGATACGCTCCGAAACTAACGTTATCACTGGAATAGTTTCTTCGCCGCCGCGGCTGGCACTGCTGCAGTTGTGACTTCCGAATTTACAAAGCTCTTCGAAAGCTACCGAGGTACTTACTCATCCTTGACTAGTGATTTTATACAAATACTTATATCTTCCTAGATGACCCAGTCGAGAGCCCAGATACCATCGGTATCACACGAGCCATAGATTACCTCGGCGATTTGAATGTCGAGCTCGACGAAGTAACCTGCCTAGCCATCGCCGAGCTACTCAAGTCACCATCGATGGGCGAGTTCACCCGCCAGGGATGGAGGGATGGATGGCTGAACGTTCGGTAAGTGCAACGTCAACGAAGAAAACCCCCTTCAACCCGGACTCAAGTCATTCTCAATGTTATCTATCCAATCTAACAACCCACAAGCTGTGACACCCTGCCTAAAATGCAAGCGTACGCCAAGTACCTCCGGGAGGTCATCCCACAAGAGCCAGCGGTTTTCCGACGAGTCTACAGATACGCATTCCCGCTCTCACGGATGCAAGGACAGCGAAACCTGCAATTCGAAATCGCCGCCGAGCAGTGGCGTCTCTTCTTCACAACTGACCATGGTGGTGTCGCCTGGAACACCGAAACGACCCCGTGGCTGGATTGGTGGATCGAGTTCCTCGAAGAGCGCGGAAAGAAGCCTGTTAACAAGGACCTGTGGGAGCAGGTTGAGGTTTTTATGCGCAAGAGTCTCGAAGATGAGGAGATGGGCTGGTGGAGTCCTGATGGGGCTTGGCCCGGTGCTCTGGATGACTTTGTTGCCTGGGTTCAGGCTAAGCGGGGAAAGGCCTCAGAGATGGAGGTTGAATAAGGTGGCCTCTGGCCTCTTCGTGGATGTTGCATGTGAGGGATTTGTGTCTTCTCATTTCCGGGTGGGCTGGCCATGTCTACTTGTACCTTGCCCACCCACTTGTATCATCCATTGACACCCTGTGTCAGATCTTTCATAGTTACGACAGAATTCACAATGGCCACGTTGTGCCGTTTTCATGTCAAGGGCAGTTGCAGTTCATTCGATTATAGCTATCCCGACTAGTGTATGTGTATAGCGGTATAGATGAGCAGAGGTAGAACGGCGCGACTAGCTCAACCGAAGAGAAGATATATATACCGATCTTCAAGGGTTGGAATTGAAATAAAACAGAGATATAAAGCCATTCGTCATGAATTGAGTGATAACATCAAGGGGAAGATATCTGCGGCATGTCAAGATGCACGGGGGTGTGTACATGGATTTAGATCGACACCGGAGAATAATTAACAAAGGAAATGGATAATCAAGTGACAGCAGACGAGCCGGAAGAGACGACACACATAGGTCTTCGACGCGTCCGGGTGTATTTGCAGTCAATTGCGGACTGTGCCCATTTAAGGGAAGTCGCGCTTCTCGTAGCTGGGGTCGCGACGCTGGTCGTAACGCTGCCGAGTCGTTAGCAATCATGTCGCAATTGTCGCATTTCCAAGAAACCAAATCATACCTTCCGGAGAGCTTCCAGACGCTTCTTCTTAGTGTGGGTGTTGACGTAGGTTCCAATGAAGAATCCAACAACGTTGAAGAAGGGCACCCAGGTGTGCTCGGGGAGGAACTTCTGAGCGAAGGCCAAACACAGGGGCGAGGTGATCCAGCTGACCTTCATGACGGGCATGAAGCCAGCCTTGACGGTAGCGCGAACCTGGTGGATGGTGCGCGCACCGGCGATAATAGCCATGGAGGTCAGGTAGACGCTGTTCTGGATGGGGGAGATCTGGGGAACGGGGGAATATTAGCGAATCTCAGGACAGGTGATCGCAGCGACGACGTACAATCAGATTGCTAACGAGGATCTGCAGGATCTTGGCCTTGAGACTTGTGCGGCCGGCGAAAATCTTCTGCAGGATCCCGATGAGAACGTGGCCGAGGGGCGCGCTGATGAACATTCCGTACAGCGACATCTTGGGGATGCGCGAGCTGAAGTAGTGGCCGTGCTTGCCGACATCGTGGGCGATCCACGAAGCTAGCAGTTCCTGCAGACCGGAGAGCACACCAGAGGTGAGCATCTTCGTGCGCAGAGGGTTCTTCTGGAGCTGAAGGAGGTATGCCTATTGACGATCCATTCCCCGGATCAGTGTTGGTTCGATGTTATTGAAGGGGTAGGCGCTGCATACCTGGAGATACCCAGCCGCTGTTTTTCCACCGGTCAATCGCTCACCAACGCGATGCGCGAGGTCTTCAGACTTGCCGCCGCCCGTGACGGTGCGGACGGTCTCCTCTTGGAACTTGACGGACATTGTGGGGATCGGAGGGGGTTGGGGGAGGGCAGGAGTCAGGAGGGTTCAGGAGGAATTAAGAGAGCTTTTCAGATTACACACGCGCCTAAAATAAGTTAATAATTTGAATGGGATTAACATGCAATGGATGATAAGATGCCAAGTGGAGAAAATGGGAAGACACGATGGGGTGAGACTGGGGGGGGGGGTGTTTGTTTATGTCGGTCCGAGGGTGGCTGGGCTGGGATGGGATATGGGGAGGACGAGCCGAGGCCGTCAATATATAACTCACACAAATCTCTCCCTTGAATAACTCTCCGACTAAATAAATTCTGTCGGAAGAATATATCCAGGAAATCGAGACGGCTATACGAACAATCGGTGGATGGATCCCCGGCGAGATCCATTGGCGGAGCCCATCGGAAACCCCCGACGGCTTTTGGTTGGATCTGGGGGCTTTGACGATTTTACCCCTATCATTAACAACGTTGTATACAGAGTATGTTGTATGTATTTTATATGTTTTAGATGTTGTATATGTTATATATTCTATATACATTTATGATTTTTGTATCCTGATGATCATAATGAATCGTAGAAGTTCACTATTTGTCGTTTTTGGTGCAATGCCAGGGCTTTCATGGTCACGGGGTTGTCACTTCTTTTAACACCCCTAGGCTTATGGATTGTCTCTCTTTAATGTTTGTGGTTTATGTAGCTGAATTGGTCACTTAAGACCAAGTGAATTATATATGTAGAGATGTGGGATTTGTCGGCTTGGACCTGTAGTGAGTTCTATACAATATACATAGCCATTATACTTCATTACCCCTATATGCCTCTTTATCTTCTATCAATCTGGTAGTCTAGCAATCCAACATCCAGTCTATTAGCCCATATTCTTCCAGTAAAAAGGGCTCTGAAGACAAGGTAATAAATAAGAATCACCATATCTCTCCCTGCATGGTTACAGAACGTATTTTAACGGCATCCCCCTAATAGTCGATAGGCATAAAACAAGCCCATGTGCCATCAAGCTTGTTATAGCTGTGTCTCGGCCCAGTGTCGGAATTGAACACTTCAGCCAAATTTATACATGGGCCTGCGAGCAGTAACCAGGCAATGTGATAGATGGAACATGTGCCCACTATCGGTGATTCTGTATAAACAGAAGTAAAAATGACAACCCGTCATCATTAAGTTGCGCTCTGCGATTGAGACCTGTGCTGTTTAAGCAGAATGTGCAAAGGAAGCAATGGGTTACATACCGCGTAAACGCGGCTCACCTCACCTAGGTCGCCGTCGGGGTTGTCGCTGGAAAAATGAGATCATGGAGCTCATTCCATAAACCGCTGACCCCGACGAGTCAACGAACGAGTCAGCGACGATGCGATCCAAATCATGGCGACCACACGCCTGGAGTATTTGAACACCACCGCTCCTCATTTGTTTCCTTCTCTCCCACCCATCCTTTCATTTCTTCCAATCATCCTTTCACCCCTTCTCTTCATTGATTCATCTTAATTCCATCTGCTTTATCACTTCTCATCACATTGCAACGTCTTTCCCGTGTGCAGGCCTTCTGGCAGCATACCGGCAACCTTGTTAGTTCACACTCAAGGATCGTGACTGACGTACTTCCTCGGCTCCCAGTCGCCAGGTGAAGTATCAAGTACCTTTCCCACGTGTAGGCCTTCTGGCGGTACACTGGCGACCTTGTCGGTTCGCAATCAAGCATTACTTCTTCGGCTTCCAGTCGCCGGGTGAAGTATCAAGTGTCTCTCCTCTCCTGCGTGTAAGGCTCCTGGCAGCACACCGCGAGTCCTTACATCTCATTTCTTGTGCTTTCTCATCTGCAATAATCCCATTTCTGTCGGGAACGACACATCCCGACGTGACACCAGTCATGCCTTCACGCCGTTCCGTGGAGACGCCGCAGCCTTCTGGCTTCCAGGCCGAGTCACAAGAGCCTCAAGTGACGACCTCATTCATCACCGAGGAACCGAGGGGTCATTCAATCTCAAGAATATCACTTATCACCACTGCCAGCGACCACTCCGGCATGGAGGCGCCGCATCCTTCTAGCTTCCAGGTCGAGGATCCGAACGGTTATTCAATGACAAGAATGTCACTCATTACCACTGCGAGCGACCACTCCGGCATGGCGCCGCATCTTTCTGGCTTCCAGGTTGAGAATGCTTATGAAATGAGAAGAATGTCAGAGATCACCACTGCCAGCGACCACTCCGGCATGGCACCGTATCCTTCTGGCTTCCAGGTCGAGGATCCAAACGGCCGTTCAATGGCAAGAATGTCGCTCATCACCACTGCGAGCGATCACTCCTATGCAGCTTATGCAAGCTCCGACGAGGGCACACCCACAGGTCTTGTGGGCAATATTCGACGTCTTGTGGGTAACATTCGACGATACTTCCAATCGCGCCGTGACAACAACAATCATGAATCGTCCGGTCGCCTTGGTCGTGCTCGGCAACATCTCGGATTCGCCGGTCGCCACACCGGCCGTCGATTCCGTCGGCGGTTACATGACCTCCGCGAGCAGCGAGGTGAGAGACAACGTCACGAGCGGGAGCTCAGACGATTGGAGAACCTCCTCGCCAATCGTCCACCTAGGACGAGCACCGTCGATTGGGACTTCCAGCCCCAAACGGACTGGCGAATCCTGCCTTCGCCGTGGCAGCACGAGTCTGACCACGAGCAGGGATCGACGGCAGATCCCTTCGGCGAGGACTAGGGTCCTCACAATTTTTTTGTTTTTCTTGCCCTTCGGGGTTATTCATGGCCCATTTGGGCATTGCTACATTCACGGTGGGGAGGGGGGAGGGGAGTGAGGGAGGGGTGAAGCCGGGGTGAGGAAGAGGTGGAGGTGAGGTGAGGTCGAAGTCAGGCCGGGGTGAGCGGGGGATGAGCGGCATGTGAGAGGAGGATGAGGGGGGTGGAATTCGGATTCCACATGTGAGGACTAGGGGATTTTCCCCGAAATGAAGAATTTCCAAGCATGATTTCAAGTAAAACTAAAAGTTACTAGAAAGATGTAGACTATGTAAATGATATTAAATTAGGTCCCGTAAGCCATAGTTAGTATAGAACTAAGCACGTAAATCGGACCAAAATGTCAGTAGAGTGTAGGCTTTAACTAATTTATATGCTATAATATAAGCCAGCAAGATAGCTATGAGAAAAATATAGTTATACACTAACTAGGCAACTAACTACTCCGTATGGTTACTCAAGATATAGTTAACGTCATGTCAGATGACCGAAATGCTGGGGAATAATGACCCTCGGAGATTAGATCGAACTTCCTCAAGTTCCGAGCCTCGGTTCCGCTTGTGCGATTCCACCTCCACATTTTATTTCGCTTTTTCTTATGTTCATCATACACGATGTCCGACCCTGAACACCTTCCAGGCAAGGCGACTGATGCCCAGGCGGGGCAAGCACCCGCCAGGAGCTCATGCGCGAAACGACAGCTGCTGGCCGCCTTGACAACAACCGATGTGACAATCCGTCGGCTGGACCTGTAAGACCTCCTTCAATCCTATGTTCTAGGGCGCGGTCAAGAATATCGCTGACCGCTCCCGCAGACTACTTTCCGAGGCAAATGGACAAGAGCGAGTACTAGCGACTATCAACTATGTCGCCTCAATGCTCCACCACCTCACTGCATCAGCGCCCTGGATAGCATTGCAAACAAGGCTGGGTATCCTTGCGCGGCTAAAGGGTCGTGTACCCACCAAGAACGTCACTCCCGCATCGTCAAAATCGAAATTCGCGGCCCTTTCCTCCCTCGCATCGGAGACGAGATACAATTTGCGACTGTTCGGGCTGCTCCCTTTGTGGATCTGGGGAGCTGACACCCTCAAATCGCCGCCAGCCGACCCCATTCTACACGCCCTAACCGTGCTGCAGGTCATCTCAAACGTGATCTACCAGCTTCTCGAGAACGTGGGCTATCTTGCTTCCAAGGGGGTGGTCTCGAAGCGGTTCGTGGACAAATATGGCGGCGTTGCCAAATGGGAAATCTGGAGTACTCGTGGATGGTTCGGGCACATCTTCTTCCAGTTCTTTGTGCTCTGGCGCCAGAGTGTGCTGCGCAGACAACGGTTAGCCACACAACGAGCGGCTGCCGGCACGGTCGAGACTAAAGAGACCAAGGCCGAAGATAGCGAGGCACTGCGTTTGGAGATCCGGGCTTGGCGAAAGAGCATGGTGAACAACGTCATCTGGGCACCCTTGTGTCTGCACTGGTGTCTCGAGAAAGGCATCGGTATTCCTGATAGCTTGACCGGGCTTATCAGCTTCTGCGCCGGAGCTTGGAGTCTCCATGACTGCTGGGCTGGAACCGCAAGTGTCAAGGCATAGCTATTAGACTACTTGTGGTGGTTCTCGGCCTTTTCCTTCTTTTCCTATTTGTACGAATCTCCTCCTACTTGCATATATACCTGATGTTGACAGCGCACGTGGTTTGTTATTGGCTTTGTATTTTCTAGGTTTACACCAGTTTTCGGGATATAGACCTGGCTTGACATTTGGATGGCGTTTCTTTCGATCCAAGCCTTTGCTGAATCTACAACTAAAGATATCACTTGCTTCCCAGTGTACGACCTTTCTCCATTATTTGAGCATTTGAACAGGCCAAATAGGTCTTCATCCCATGACTTAGAAGACTCGCCGTTGGCCGGCATTGCTATAGATCTATTCCTTGTCTTAACCGGTCACCCAGAGTTGGAATTTCTTCAACTCAGAAGGAAGTGCACCATGAACTTTCTATTTACTCTTTAGGATTGCTGTAGTTATAATTGAATCGTTCCAAGATTCTCGGCTGAATGTATTATTGTAAGGACCTTGGTAACCATATTTACTGTTGGCCGTTCCCCAGGCATCAAGGCTACCGATCGAATGAGTTCCATGCGCTTCGTTGTGGCGGACAACGCGATGACATAAGCACCGGGCTTAAGTCATCATCATCAGTTCTAAGAGCAGAGGTAGGAAGCTCAACATCATCATTCCTGTTACCTGCCTCTATCTCCACTTTGCCGTCATCGGATTCGCTCTCTGACTCTGGTCTATTGGTTCTTTTTTCATTTCAGTACTCATTTCTTGTTCCATTTTAAATCCGTGTCTCGCTCCGACTCTTTTTGGGCACTGGACACCTTTGTTCACTCAAGCTTGCTTCCATCAACGCCATAACCTCATTTACGCCCATCATGTCTTCCGAGCCGGATCACACGCATGACAAGAAGAGGGTCCACTTGCAGTACGTCTCATTTGAACTCCCTTGACTATTGAGTATGCTAACTGGACTCCAGGGACGCTTCAGGCGCCGAGAAGAAGGAGGTAAGCATAGGCTACAGGACAGCTCACAAAAGCCCTCGGAACTGACGAAAATTGCAGGAGCTCGATACCTCCACCGCTATCTTGAAAAAGAAGAAGAAGCCCAATTCCTTGATGTAAGTAGCTGATAAGAGATATCTGTTGGGGGCAAGAAGCTGACAGTTTTCACCCAGTGTGACCGATGCCGTTAACGATGATAACTCGGTTATTGCCCTCTCGAACAATACCATGGAGACCCTCCAGCTCTTCCGTGGTGATACAGTTCTCGTGAAGGGCAAGAAGCGCAAGGACACTGTGCTGATCGTCCTGGCCGATGACGATCTCGATGATGGAAGCGCCCGTATCAACCGGGTTGTGCGTCACAACCTTCGTGTCAAGCACGGCGACATGATCACTGTGCACCCTTGCCCCGATATCAAATACGTAAGTTGTGCATTTCCACTCATTTTTACCATGATCTATTGGCTAATTCTATGTTCGTGATCTAGGCCAAGCGCATTGCCGTCCTTCCCATCGCTGATACGATTGAGGGTCTGACCGGCTCTCTATTCGATGTCTACCTTGCTCCCTACTTCCGCGAGGCCTACCGTCCAGTCCGACAAGGTGACCTGTTCACAGTACGAGGTGGTATGAGACAAATCGAATTTAAGGTTGTGGAGGTCGACCCTCCCGAATACGGCATTGTTGCCCAGGACACAATTATTCACTGCGAGGGTGAGCCCATCCAACGAGAGGATGAGGAGGGCAACCTCAACGAGGTTGGCTACGATGATATTGGTGGATGCCGCAAGCAGATGGCTCAGATCCGTGAATTGGTCGAGTTGCCTCTCCGTCACCCTCAGCTGTTCAAGTCCATTGGTATTAAGCCACCTCGTGGTATCCTTATGTATGGTCCTCCCGGTACCGGTAAGACCTTGATGGCTCGTGCTGTTGCCAACGAGACTGGTGCTTTCTTCTTCCTGATCAACGGTCCCGAGATCATGTCCAAGATGGCTGGTGAATCCGAGTCGAACCTGCGCAAGGCATTCGAGGAGGCCGAGAAGAACTCCCCGGCTATCATCTTCATTGATGAGATCGACTCCATTGCCCCCAAGCGTGACAAGACCAACGGCGAGGTCGAGCGCCGTGTTGTTTCCCAGCTGCTCACCCTCATGGACGGTATGAAGGCCCGTTCCAACGTTGTGGTCATGGCCGCTACCAACCGTCCCAACTCCATTGATCCTGCTCTTCGTCGTTTCGGCCGTTTCGATCGTGAGGTCGATATCGGTATTCCCGACCCAACTGGCCGTCTTGAGATCATGCAGATCCACACCAAGAACATGAAGCTCGGTGATGATGTCGACCTGGAGACCATTGCCGCCGAGACCCACGGTTACGTCGGTTCTGATCTTGCTTCCCTCTGCTCCGAGGCTGCTATGCAGCAGATTCGTGAGAAGATGGATCTCATTGATCTCGATGAGGACACCATCGATGCCGAAGTCCTTGAGGCTCTTGGTGTCATCATGGAGAACTTCCGCTTTGCCCTGGGTGTCTCCAACCCCTCTGCCTTGCGCGAGGTTGCTGTGGTCGAAGTTCCCAACGTACGCTGGGACGACATTGGTGGTCTCGAGGAGGTCAAGCGCGAGCTTGTCGAGAGTGTCCAATACCCCGTGGACCACCCCGAGATGTTCCAGAAGTTTGGTCTCTCGCCTTCTCGAGGTGTGCTGTTCTATGGTCCTCCTGGTACTGGTAAGACCATGTTGGCCAAGGCTGTTGCCAACGAGTGTGCTGCCAACTTCATCTCCGTCAAGGGACCTGAGCTTCTGAGCATGTGGTTCGGTGAGTCGGAGAGCAACATCCGTGATATCTTCGACAAGGCCCGTGCTGCTGCTCCTTGTGTCGTCTTCCTCGACGAATTGGACTCCATTGCCAAGTCTCGTGGTGGCTCCGTCGGTGATGCCGGTGGTGCCTCTGACCGTGTTGTCAACCAACTTCTTACTGGTAAGTCTCCGCTATTATTAACTGTATTTTTTTCCGAATATTCACTAATTTCCTAACAGAGATGGACGGTATGACTTCCAAGAAGAACGTCTTCGTTATTGGTGCTACCAACCGTCCCGAGCAGCTCGATGCCGCTCTGGTCCGTCCTGGTCGTCTTGACACCCTGGTCTACGTTCCCCTGCCTGACCAGGACTCTCGTGAGGGTATCCTCAAGGCCCAGCTTCGCAAGACCCCTGTCGCCGGCGATGTCGACATTGCTTACATTGCCAGCAAGACCCACGGCTTCTCCGGTGCCGATCTCGGCTTCGTGACACAGCGTGCCGTCAAGCTCGCCATCAAGCAGGCCATCTCCGCCGACATTGACCGCCAAAAGGAGCGCGAAGCCGCCGGCGAGGACATCACAATGGAGGATGAGGAGGCGGAAGATCCCGTGCCTGAGCTCACTCGCGCTCACTTCGAGGAGGCCATGAAGTCTGCCCGTCGGTCTGTCAGCGACGTCGAGATTCGCCGCTACGAGGCCTTTGCCCAGAGCCTGAAGAACACCGGAGGCGGTAGCTTCTTCCGCTTCCCATCTGCTGGCGAAGTTCAGGAGAACGATACCTTCGGCGAAGCCGGCAATGACGACAGCCTCTACGATTAAACGCTTCTATTGTAGAAGGTGGTATGACATGTTTTTCCTTAGTTCAGCCATGCCCGGGTTTCTGCGCTCGAATTCGCTTATGAATAGATCGTTTTGCGTGGGTGGAGATGTGGGCCTGATTGCTAGGGTTTCCTTTTCGATTCGTTTCTTCCTGTTTTTGCCCACATACAATGTGCCATAATAGCCAATACAGAGAAATCTCTACGTTCATTGGTTCTGTTGTAGTGTTTGTAGTGTCGTCTTGCTTTTTATGTTGCTTTATGTTGTGTAATGAATGTCATGTCCTTCCATATTAAAATCATGATCATCTAGAGGTATAGGTATTTCTTGTCCTCGTAATGCTCTGTTGATGCAAGAACAGTAGCCGGATGTATCTGAGAGATATTCCCATTGTTCTTACTCCGTACTTGCTTATGAGATAATGATTATATGATCAATAATATACATCAAACTAGCTCAGACAATGATAATCTCTCGGACAATCCTTTCAGCCCGAGATATAAATCTCGGCACTTCGGTTTTTGGCCCCAAGCCGAGATCTCCACTTTTTTTCGGTTTTAAATTGAAGCCGAGAGCGAACACAGCGACTAGAGCGAACGTTGGACTGGAACTGCAACAAATTTCGTGCTTTTTCGTACGTTTGCGTGCTTTTAACTGGTCCATTTCTTACTTCCGTGGAGTTCAGTATTTTTCTGATTCCGTAATTTTGCGTATGTTGTACCCGTCGCCACATGGAAATATACTGACGCCATGGAAGTATATCAAGATAATTTGATCATCTAGGTGACATGCCCAGGTGGACATGGATTATCAAGGTTAGTGATCGACTCTACTCTATGGAAAAAGGGAGGCTCTCATTGGCCTGACCTAGATCATGACGCTGTTTAATCTGACTTTTCCAACTAATGTATCCGGGGTTGAGTACATCGCGGACATAGTGGAGGAGCGAACGGCCGATACCGAATGAGCTTCTCCACAACCTTTTTTTTTACAAAGCTTTGGAAGTCTTTAGCTCCGAGCCTATTCCCGTCTGGGACTTCGGGGGGGTTATATTGTCATAGCTATGGCCCCTGTCTTAATAATGTTCTTTCCCAAAGTTGTTTTCTCTCATATCACACCGGCGCAAGTCTTGCACACCTATCTACTACATACATAGGTATTTAGGGCAACCATGAGCCCACCACCGTTTGATTCAACTACAACTACACCTCGCCTCAGCATGGAACAGGAGGTGGACGTCACCAACGCTATTCATGATAAGAACGAAACAGATGTCGAGAACGCAGTCGACACCCCAGAAAAGCCCGCTGTTTCCAATGCAGAGCCCAACCTTGTCGACTGGGATGGCAAAGATGACCCTCACAACCCCCAGAACTACAGCAATCTGCGCAAATGGACCATCACATTT